ATCATTTGATGAAGAGGCTCCGTGCCCCGAAACTGATTTCATTTGCCGAATGGCGCGCCTTGATGTGGCTGCGTACGGATGTCTTGCGATACTGAAACCAATAAGTCAAAGGTTTTGGATTATCCTGAAGCAGACGATTTATGACAGACCGGAATATTTAACGATTCAACATGTAAAAAACCCAACATTATCCTCGAATCCATATAAATTTTCTAATTGTGAAGTAATTCAGCAAGATAAGATATTGACGCCATGAAACATGTTAGAACCAATATGCCAATATAACCCACCAAGCTAAAAAGTCGAAATAAGGAAAAGCAGGAAAAGTGAACAGTACATATCCAAACATGTGGCACAATTTTCTATCAACTTAAGCAAAATGTTCTGAAGGCTGTTATAGCAATATAGTCAATTCAATATGCTATTGCTTGGATGGAGCGACTAAGGCGGATGCTGAGCACGCCATTATGGGGTGCAAAAAATGGGAAAAAGGTAGACAAGAACTATGAAGGAAGATAGTAAGGCAAAAATTACCCTTCCAACCAATTTTTAACATTATTGACAACAAAAGGATATATGGCACGCTATATAATTTTATACAATCAAATAAAATAAAATTGTGAAGATAACTTAAATGTATAAGACTAATGTACGTGTATACAAAGTCAACAAATAAAAAAAAATATGGCCAATAACCAGCATTTCTGCCTAATTTACTTTTTTATTGCAGAAAAATTAAAAAAACAAGTTATTAACACACAGAAAACACTGATGTGTGAGGAAAAGATTGATTAAATTATTTGCAAGAAAAACACAAAAAGCAGAAGTGAAAATAAGGAAATTTCTTTTATCAATTGGATTTCTTTTGTATAACTCGGCTATATTTTATCTTCGTGAAAGAGAAATAATCAGAAAGTAAGTTTTCCGTGAAGTTTCTACTAATACTTTTTGACTTTCGTAAGCCTTTTGGTCATTGCCGTCAAAATAATACTCAATTTTTATCTTTTTAATGATTATTTATATTTGTTAAGATTGGGTAAGAAGTTATAATTTTAAACTTCTGAAGACCTTGCGGCTTAATTAGTGTCTGTGCAAAACACCTTACTGGTACTATGATTTTTTTTAGTTAAATGCGAAATAATAATGATGAAATATCATTTTCCAAAGTTCTTTCCACACTTTCATTTCTTAGCACTTAGAGACTTAATAATTTTATGAGTAAATTTGTTACTTTGAAATTGTTTTATTTTAGGTTTTACATTAATTATTATGTTCGACCCGTTTAACTCAAAGGTCCTAGACTGAAATCTATAAAGCAAGTACGGCTTAGGCGATAGTTGGTACGACGAAGTCGCCTTGATTACATTGGAGGCAAAAAAACGAAAGAGGAAAATACTGGTTTGTACTAATCATTTCCTGCAGTAAGCTTTTTACCCTTTTACTAAAAGAAAATTAGTTTTATATACAATATAATACTCTCATCTACAAAAATATGTAGGTTATATTATTATAGATAATACAATAATAATGATAAAATTAACACATTGCTTTTGTTAAAGAGCCATGTTAATCAAAAAATTAACTGTTGGTAATTAGCAAAGCATATTAAAATACAATGCACATGCAATGAGCAAATTTTTAATAGAAATGTGATTTATTTAATAAGCTGTTGACATCAATAACAAAGTTTTCCACTATAATAACCAAATAATAAATGCCATAAACGTCAGATCGACGATAATTTTTAAGATTCACAATCAATACAACTGTGAATACGTTAATCATTATTGATTATGTATAGCAATTAGATAAAAATATGTTAATACTACTAGTAACCATTATTGTAAAATACCAGCTAATCAAGAGTGATATAATAGAATAGTCATTAAATTAAAAAAATAAATTCAAATGAACATTTACCACACGTATAACCTGATCTACTAGATAATGATAGTAGTCAAAATTTCTTTGAGACCTTTGTTTATTCTTAATTACCTATACTTGGATATACAAAAAGTACATATACCAAATACTGAAAAGTACTATATTGAATATCAAGCTCCTTAAATATTCGAATGTTTGTTTTAAAATTTAAAGCCAATATAATTGTTTAGGTGTTTATCCATATTTCATCATAAAATCGTATTCACTTTTGAGTAAAAAAACTGATCATTTAGAAATTGATATTGACGAAATATAGCGCATTGTATTTAACAAATATCGATAACGATGCAAAACCACTGTGAAGTTAATTTCAAATTGAGGATAATATTAGAAATAAAGCATAGATATTAACAAAAACAAGCACTTATAGAAAATATTTTTATAACAGCACAAGCAAATTGAATAAAGTAGTAATCAAAACCAAATATCAATAGTTCTGCAAACAGCAATACATCATCTTTAGAATTAACAATAAACGAGCGAACTGAATTCTAACTGAATTAATTAAACAAATCATTTGTTACTAAAATACTCACGAGAAACGGTTTCGTGATTAATCTAATAATGCCTCCTAAGGTACCTGTAACCCAGGAAAACATTTTAATTTAAGAATATCGGATAAATATACTTTTTAGCTATGTTTCAATTCGTTTTATAACAGAATAATTAAAAGTATTGTTGATTATAACAAGATAAAAATAATATATGAAGTAAATGACAATCATATTAGATATATGCGAGAATGTTCTTAATTCTCTTTGGAAACAAGCGGTGTAAATAAAAGCAGTGAACGAAGTAAATGTTAGAACATTAAATTTATTTAGTTTTAATAGTTCGTAATGGATACATGCAACAATTGAAAATTCGCACAGACAAAGATCCTGTTAAGTATGATTAGTAATGATGATTTTCGGAATTGATGACACCCTTAATAAAGCATGATGTTGAAATGATGAAGACATCAAGCAAAATGCGCACACTTCAGATTTCTAGTCATATTCATTCTACAATAATACATTATGTACATTGAACAATATCTATAAACATTCCAATAATAAATGCACTACATATAACCCATTCATTATTTAATGTCACCACACTTCGACTTTAAAGAAACTTATTTGCATAACTCTTAGCAGTAAGTTTGAAGTTTATAATAGTTTAACAACTTGGATTCCAAGCCGAGAATTTAGGCAAATACTTCATAAGAAGCACATTTTTATCCACAATGAACTTACCACTAAAGGTTATGAAGTAAAGAACTACAGTTCACGGATTACAGTGGAATTAATTCAACTAAAGCATAAGTTACAACAAATCATACACAAAATTTGAGTGATACATTACTGATGAAAAAAATATCAATAACTTTATTCATTGATTATATGCATTAGCTAGTAAATCTGGAATTAAAATTAAAATTGACTACAAAATATATATAGATTTAGGATATTAGACATATATAGATTGATATAGATCAATCAATTATATTCCTTGAATACAATTAAATAGTAATAGTTTCGTGTGATATTTGATAAATATCCCTGTTTAACTTGGCTCTAAATATGTAAATAGAAAGAAATATATCACTAACCTGGTACTCGTCCTAGGTGAATGGTGTCCTGATACTGGAGCGGGCAGCGCCAACAAATTCGGCGACGGCGTGCGCAAACTACGTCGTGCGTTTCCGCCGGCGCTTCCGGCGGATATACGCGAGCGCCATCTGGCGAGCGGTAGGAAAATCACATGCAGAACACGGTGTATACATTCAATGCATATATATATATATATATATATATATATATATATATATATATATATATATAGGAACCATGGATTTAAAAATCTTATAGGAATCATGCAAAACATCTTAAATCAGAATCAAATGAATCAGAAATTTGATGAATAAGATTTTTTGAACATAAACTTTAAAATCTTAAAATGATCTTTGATATCAATTCATAAAAGTCTAATAAATTAATTGTATCCAAAGTTAAGATTATGTTACAAATAGTATATATTAAAGAATATATTTTTCTGCAAAAAAATCAAGTTTTTGCAACTGAAAAATAAATTCATAAAAAAAATTATTATATACAAGGTTCCTATATAACAATCCATACATACGTGCATATACATCTGTACATATAAGCACATACATAGAAATAGTGCTATTCAAGATATTGTAAACAATGTTCCTACTCATATTTCAATAATTTAGAGGAATGTATCAAATGTTGAATAAAAAAACTTATTTTAATAACTAGAATACAAATTTACTTGAATAGCACTAAGCTAATAATGAACTATCTAATCTATATCGAACTATGATACAGCAAAAGATGTTCAATATCCAGCATATATCCAATGTAAATAAATTTGCATGTGCATTAAGCAATATAACTTTTGAGAAGTTCTTTATCAAGAATCAGAATAAAGAAAAACATACTTGCGAAAAACAAATTTTCAAAATAGATTTAATGCTCTCCATTCAATTTTGAATAGTTTTCAAATAGCAACAAAAAGATATTTGACTCTTCGAGGCACAACTAATTGTAAAACAAAAGGCGGGACAAACTCTTGAAATAGTGAGCAACTCATACATATGTATCAAAAAGCAATCAAAACAGAAATGAAAAGTACGAACTTTTTCTCGTTATCCAGATTGGTAAATTTCAATAATTTCATTCTTCACAATTACTCGAAGAATTAAATAATACAGTTAATGTATAAGAAAACTATTCGAAAACAATACAGGAACATGGAACTAATAAAAATTACATGCAAATCATAAATAAAGCCTAATATGAATTTAAAGACAAATTGAATGTGAATTAAGGAAATTAAAAAAAATATATAGGAAGATGTAGTTTTGTCAAATCTTTACAGATTGAAATTATTGCTTACTGATTTTTTTTCGCTGTTGTAGGCAATATTGTAACCAGTTGTAATTATAAATCTTATAAAGTTAGAAACTAATGGCAATACTAACATGTGTTTATATAACTGGCACTAGCTTTCTTTTCATATACTACCATTAAATTAATGGCAATAATTATAATTAACCACAAATGTTTCATATATTCTATTCAAAGTAGCTTACCCTCCAGCACCAGTAGCATTACTTCCAGAAGTAATTTGTGGGAGTCCGGAATGCCTACGAGCAATTGAATGTCCATGGAAACTCTCACGAGCTTTCTGTTCAAACTCACGATTAAAATCCTCAGCTTCCTCTTCCTCTAGGTTAATAAACTCTTGTCTTTCTTCTTGATCTCCAGAAATAGTATTTTGTTCACGTTCAATCACATGTGAACGAGATCCAATATGATGACCTAGTAATAATAATCTATTAGTTTCAGTTTGAAGTATTTTGAAGGAAAAAGAATTGATTTTATACAAAAAAAATGCATTGATAAATGTTTTCATAATATAACAGAATTATTATATTGTATTAAATTCAGCAATAAAGCCAACATAACCGCTACATTTTTAATTACATATCATTTATTGTTTAGAAAGTATTCACATTACCAAAGTAATATATAATTAGTTCTATACCTATAGCCATTTTCTTAGTTCCACTTCTAGAATCAATGTGAGTTCGTTTTGTTTCCCTAATACCTCCGGGACCAGTTCTGGTGCTTGATGAACTTTGTATGACCTGTGGTCGTCCGTCTGGGCCAGAAGTCATGCTCATAGACATCACACTACTACTACTAAACCCATGTTCCCCCAAGCCAGAATCTAGAGAACCTGAATAAATATGTAAATAATTATTTATAAAAAATTCAAGAAAAAGCCATTAAGATATTATATATACTTATAATTATTATATTCATATAAATTATTATTATAAATTAGCATATATAAATACAGGTAATACCTGTATAAAAAGAGAATTATGTTCCAAAAACTACTGTGTCATATGGAATCATACAAAAAAAGATTAGGTTTACAAAATTAAGAAAGAACACACTATTATGTTTTCATAGTAAAATTCATGATTCATTACAAGAATTATATAATATTTTCTTCATCATATATAATTACTGACAAATTATCCTCATCCTTTAAACATTTTTCCATTACCACCAGCTCACACAAAAAAAACTTATATTAAAATGCTTGCTTTAAGTAAAAGATCTTTAAAAATTTCCTAATATGATGCTAAGCACTTGTAAAATACCTGTTCAAATTTCGTGCTTATTTCTTTTTTAAATAATATTACTAGCTGTTCTGCTAAATCAATGCCTTTTTTACATTTTATACATTAAATTAAACTTTAATTTTTTCATGTTCACCTTTGCTAGGATCCTCACCATGGATTTCTGATAGCAGTACTACTTATTATCTTCCACTTCTATCTTCTAATAATATCTTTAAAAAAGGTTGAGGGCTATTTACGCAGAAATATTCTAACAATAAGGCTATCTGCATAGCCAAAAACAAAATACATATGAAGATTTCTGCAAAAAATTTGATAGAACATATGTACTCAAATAGAAAATGCCAAATGAGGTATCTTCGCAAAGATTTAATTAAGTTTATAGAGCTGTTGTACAGTGATGTTGTAATTTTAAATTAAATAAAGTTTGCTTTATATAGCTTTATATTTCATATTTTATTACTGTTTTACCAATACCCGATCTGTGTTAGAGCAAAACAATGCTATAAAAGTAACAAAGTAAGTATAATGTTCGCAATACTCAAACTGCATAAGGGCATGTCATGCTATGGAAGTACTATGTTAAACATGGTATTGTAAATTTGAGTCAAAAATTAGAAATATACTAGATGTATAAGTTTTGTAGCACCATATATAGTGTAATTATCCTCAATATCATTTTGTTGATACCCACACATCAATCAGTTCAAATGAAACAAAAGCAATATTATTCAAGTTTTAAAATAAAAACTAAGAATTATTTCAAAAAACGTTTTATTATCCTTTATAAAATTATTTTTTAACGAGGGCACTTAAAATAAAATTAATAAACAACTAAGATCAATAAAAACATTTAAAAAAAAAACTAATTTTGAACAATACATATTTATAGGAAAAAAATTTTAAAACGATTCTCATACCACTTAGCAATCTGTTCATATTCAATTGTGGCATAGGAGGAAATCCAAATGGCACCATACTATGTCTAGAACCCATTGTAAGGGCCGGTGGGCCACCCATTCCGAAGCCGCCCATCATACCAAAAGGATCCGCGAAAAGTGAATTCATCATGTTATTCATCTGGCGCATGGAACGCATGTGAGCACTGGAAAAAGGGACATTTTTATTATGTAACATTTGCTTGGAAGTAACAGTGAATTTAGTAAATCTCGACACATGTGCCAAAATCGAGCAATCATAATTTTATATGTAAAACAAAAGCATACCCAAAAAATGGATCATCATCTAAATCTCCCATGATCGAACCGAATAACGACATGATGGCTTTCACTATAATATGCACACACAGTTAATATTTGTGAAATATTACAATATGTTTAACACAGCTAGTCAAAATTAGCACTTATGTCAAAATTATAATAAAATGCGTAATCAACATACGAAAATAGTATTGTTCTCTTTAGGTTGGCACATATACAAAAGTGAAGTTCGTTTAATACAACTTAACGGATTTATAATCATATACGGATATCTCAAGTTCCTTAATTAATCAAAATCTTTTGCTAATATGCTTTCAAATTTTATATTTCATCATTTCATCCTTACTATCGATTCAAAAATGACATTTTCTCTTATACTCTTCTTTTATCTATGCATTTTCCTAAATGTTTTTGTGTTGCCAGATTAAAAAAAATAACTTAGTCTGACAAAACTATTAAAATGAACTAGAATAAACAGATTTTAATCTAAAACCTGTGAAACACGAGTCGATAACATACATTACAAACAAGGCAAATTATACGTGCTGATTTTTAGACATAATATTCATAATTGACAATTAGAGATAAAGGCAAATTGGCAAATATATTAGGTTTTCGAATTACATGGTGATACAATAGTGTCATGGGTGCTCGGACTATTATTAGCGGATTTTCTGATGACAAAAATGTGGATCAACGAATGTAACCCTAAATTTAACATTTGCAACTTATAGGTTTAATGCCCTAGTTTAATGCGTTTCTAAATAAATTCGATTGTCATGGATCAGGTGTTGTTTTTTTTAATTGTTTGATATCATGAAGAAGTTGAATCATTTAGAAATGTTAAAATGAGTTAGCTTATAGTTAGGTAGTAAATCATGTAGTAAAAGAATATTTTTCTCAAAATATACCCCTAGAACTGGAATGATCTATTTCAACCGTTTTATTTGCTTTAAACAATTTCAACATTTATAACTTTTTATTCAAATGACAATAAGTAGTACCCACTCAAACAATGTCTCTGGACGTCGAATTATTCCGTAAGCATAATATATTAAATATATGCAATCAATCAAAATTAATTATTTTTCTTTGTTAACAGTGACAATTTCCATGTATTGCCTAGTTGGACTTGTTCTTGGAGAAATAATATTCAGAGTTTATGACATTTACACAAATTATGTACGTGGGCAAAACATATATGAGCATATAAGACGCAATCAGCCAAATTATCAGTGTTACACTCTTTTGGTAACATTATTCAGTTTTCTTTTTACCAAATGGCTTCATGTAGGTCTCCATATTACAGTTGATGGGATTGTGATAATAATTTCCAATGTTATTTTTCATTGGATGCAAAAGCATTTTAATATTGTACGTCCACAAGTTGGTAGATTATTGAAAATTAATTGCTATAAAAAAGAATGAGATTAGCTTGTTGCACATTTAATTCAAAATTTTATTTCAACTGTAAAGAGTTCTTTTTGTGCTACAACTGCCTCTGAAATATATTTGTTATCATTCAATTTCATTTTTTTTTTATCACTAATGGAGTATGTTATCAGTTCTTTTATTTGAATGGAACGATTGATTATTAATCATTTTTCAGTTTGAGTCGAAAAGTGATCATATTAAGTTTATCCAAGCTGGTGGAGGTTTAGACTATGGGAGTGGAATGGCTCATAGTTATTTTTATGGATATTTAAATAAAATTTTGCCCGATAATGGTGATGATAATGTGGGCATCAGAGAGAATATTGAAGTAAGATCCTTTTGTTTCCTTAAAAAAGAATAATTTTTCTATTTTTTTTTTTTTGAAGCAAAAAGTTAAGTCAGAAATTTTTTTAAATGAATTTCTCATCAATTGGAAAAGAGTTTACTTTTCAAAATTGTGTTAAAGAAAGTAGAAGATAATGAAATTAAAAAAAAGCAGTTAATTTAATTTTGAGATAATTTGAAAATTCAGAAAAACAATTTTGGGATGTCAGTATAGTAGAAAAATAATAGAATAATAACGATAGTTTTTATTTGTTTGCAAGTGTTTCAAATAAAACTTTTTTTTTAGAAATACGAGGCAAATGAAAATATTACAATACCTGTGAAAAAATTGTTTATTTTAATCCCGCTCTCAATGTATTTTTCTCCATCGCTGGTTACCCATGCGCCTCCTGGTATGATGGAAGCTTGCAAGGTAAACATTTCACTTGAATCATTTGATCTGAAAAATAAGTAACATAATTTATAATATTTTACCAGTCTCTAGAATCGATACAACGGAATGTTGCTGGAATCATAGGACGATCATATAAAAATTCTGTCTATAAAATTCATTTGTCTGAAATGGAAGGCCATGTGCAGGAAAGTTGTTATAAAATATTACATTTTTGTTTGTTTGTTTTATTTTATTGTAATTATATATAATTTCTTTAGAAGCCATTGTATGTGGTTGCTGAAGGTGCAACTCCATTACATACACTATATCAAACATGTATAGGAAAAGCACCTTGTTCAGGTACATGCATTTATTAAGAAGTCAAAGTGTTATATATATATATCTTATCTGAAATAAAATTTTTACTTTGCAGCACATATAAGAGAGCATAGTGAAGAAATTGTTAAGCAATTTTACAATACTCTCAGCCATATTTTGGAAAGCTTGCCGGAATATAAAAATACTTATGAGCTTATTTTATATGAAGGTAGTAAAAATTGTTGTTGCTGTTCAAAATGTGAAATTATGATATTGTATTTTTAGGAACTGAAAATTTGGCAGAGCTATTGGTGGAGCGTGTAAGAAAGTCAGATGAATATAGTACAAGCTGGTTGTGATTTGTTTTGTATGACTTATTAATTGTTAAGTTTTTTTTTAAATGTTTAAAATGTTATGAACTAACTTAAGTCATGTACCCACCAAAAAGATGTATGCATTTTTATATGAAGATTTATTTTATAATATGAAAAGAATTTTTTTTATTTCATGTGGATATAGATAGCTCAAACTGAATTTCAAAATACTAAATGAATGGATCTATCTGAGAACAATTTGGAAGTTTTTTATTTGCTACATGTGTAGCATTTTCGAGAGTTTATGCTTAAATACTGTAATAAAAAAAAAAAATCTATACACATACAAGCAATAGTTCCATGTTTTATCAGAACCTTTCATGTAAAGAGATTAAACAAATTATCCATAAATATACAAACAATGTAGCAAAACAGTAATTTATATTATTGGAAATATACAATTTATATAAATCAAAACTGCTAACAAACAAATTCAATAACTTTATTTTAATAATCGTCCCCTCGGGAAACAACTTCTTTACAGGTAGGTCTCAGCATTATGGTATGCTCATATTGTGCAGTGTATGAACCTTTCACATCGCATAGTGGTGGATAGGCCTCCACAACTCCCTTATCACACAAATCCTTCAATGCCATTTGATATTTTGTAGCACCTGCTCTATCTAACCAACGTTTGCAGAAAGCAAGAGTGCTAAAGTTTTTGTTAATAATATTCAAAAGAGTTTTAGATGATTGTAAACGCAATGGAACATATGGCATATCAAAGTTTTTCATGTAATGAGAACAGTCCATGTCATCATGAACGGCTCCTCTACCGGTTGAGCCAAAAGTTTCAATGGCATAGAACTCATTTTCTTCCATTCTAGTTGTCTCACCGCCTCTCACTATTGGTACAGTTTTACCAGAGTGTATTCGATAAGGACTAATAGAATGACCATTAAGATTTCTTATGCTTTTGACTTGATATGTTTTTCCATCAAGTTCAACTTCATAAGATTCCATTACCTCTTGGATAGCAGCTCCTACAAATTAATATTTAAAACTAATTATTCCCCAAATATAATAAGCTTATAATAAATAATAATGATCAAATTTTATGGATATTCATAAATATTTGACTAAAGTTTAAAAAATATTGTATACATCAATAAATTAAATGTGCTAAAACCTATCTTACCTATATCACAAAGTTGAACATCAATCCCTGCTGCTTTAATTCCAGTGTTAGTAGCATCTTTGACAGCTTCTAATAATTTATCATACTTGGGATTGAATGTCAAAGTAAATGCACAGTCAATAATACGCCCTTTTATATGAGTACCAAAATCTATTTTGGTCACATCATCGTACTCGAGTACAGTGTTATCCCCAGCATTTGGAGTATAATGAGCAGCACAGTGATTCCTAGAACAGCCAGTAGGAAAAGCTAAACCTGCATCTAAGCCATTTTCGCCAATCAATTTTCTGGCAGTGTTTTCTAATTCCTCACAAATTTCTATCATAGTCATGCCTGGCTTGATCCATCGTTGCATGTGTTGCCTAGTTTGACGATGGGCTTCAGCAGCTTGTCTAAGCTCATTGTAAATGTCATTGTGCATCAGATCTAAAGCTCTCTTCTCCTCGCTGGTGAATCTATCTTTAGCCGTTCTACCATCCTTAGTGGGAGGATAGTCCATGATTTCACCTTCAGGAAAGACTCCATCGGCGAAGAGTTCGGAAACTGGTATGCTTGGAGGGTCGGTTTGCACCTTCTTAGCTTTATTTCGGTTTCTTTTTTTCTTCTTTTTCTTGTCTCCACTTTCCTGATCTTGCTCCACATTTGTTTGGTCATCTAATGCGGTTTCTTCCAATTGTGAAGTTACCTCTTCAACGTTCTGAGAAGTGTTTCTCTTTTTTTTCTTTTTCCTCTTCTTCTTTGAGCCTTCCTGAGGAGCGGCAGGATCACCTACTTCGTCATCATTTTCCAATTCATTTTCTATTTCTTCTTCTAAATTTTCATCCGGCACTTTTGTTACAGAAGCCATTTTCACTTTTATTCTATGATATATAACCTGACAAAAATCGACATGACATTTGGTCGAAATTTTAGTCCCCGATGTTGGTAAAGCAGTGAAGTTAACTGAATTCTTTCGCGCGATTTTCAACTTTACATTTTAGAGTTGGATAACGTTTATTAATGTCTTGACCACAAAGAAAAATTCTTTCTTTTTAATATAAAAATGATTTTATGATAAAAGTACATATTTACAAAATCAATATCATAAAATATTAAAATGATGATCAGAATCACGTCTTTCGTAACTAATGTATGTATAAAAAAAAGTTGGTTCATGATGTTTTAAAATTCGCAAGTACGTACAACCACTAATCTTTAACTTCATTTGGCAATTTCCATCTTGCAAAATTGTATTTTTTCTACAATTTTTCACCTTCTCATAAAAATCACTACTTTACAATAATATATTTTTTTTAAACCACATTCAAAAAATTAATGGTTATAACATTTATTACCTACGACTAATCGCTTTTAGAATAAAACTCAATGAATGTCCTGTTTATTTGGAACATATTTTTAATTTAATAAGAAGGCAGCCTAGTGGTTCATTCAGAAACATATTAGTGATCTATATGTCCAAGGACGAAATGGATTCCACTTTGGGAATCGCTCGTTATCTGGTTGTCCGAGACAGAGATTTAAACCCGAAACTTTTTGATGTCCGGATGATTTGGAAAAGCTATATGTGTGTGCGTATGTGTGCCAATTTTTGACCTTTCGTAGACGTTCTCTCAAAAACGGATGCACCGATTTCAAAAATTTAAAAGCAATTCGATGTAACTTAACAAGTACTCGCATTATTTAGTTTTTCGCGGCGATCGGTCGAGCCGTTTCTTTAGAATCCGCAGAAAAGTGCCAAATTTACAGTTCCATGCAATGGCCAAAGATTCTGAACCGATTTTAAACTGTTTAACTGTTTAAACTGTAAATACTTCGAGAAATAATATAAAAATGATTATTAAAAGTAGTTATTGCAATCAAAATATTTCAAGTATAATTATGAATATTAGAAAGAAAGTTGTGAATCGTGCTGATTAGTTTTTGGTAAAGATTGACCGAAAAGTTTCTCTGTAATTAAAAGTTGCAATTTTTTTACGACTTAAATGAACCTTTTTAAGATGCATAGCAATCGCCCTAAAATATTATGCGCCTGTATCAAAATTTTAAAGTATTGTCATTATTTTATAACGTGCCAAATCTATTTTTTTAAGTCAATTATTTACACATATTTTATGAAATGTTACCCTCAACCAGTTATAAATTATATTGAAAAATTAAAAAAACTAGTGGGGTGGGTGGCATCGTGCCTTAAGGCAAATTGCTGGAACTTCCCGTACCGTAACGAAATGTTCGAGGATTACTGAATGTTTTCAAATAGATTATTATAAATATTGTAACATTGTCTAATATTTATAAATATTATATAAACTGAATTGCAGAGTTGTTGAAATTATTTGTAAAGTATATTAGAACTATAGTCAGAATTAAAAATAAATATTTTCGATATACAAAAAACTAAAAAAAAAAAAAAAATAAAGAAAAGAAAAAAAAAAATGGGACAATTTTTTTTCCAAAATCGATTATTTTGTTAAGACAAGCAGAAAGTTCTTTGAATCATTTAAATCGGACGCTTAGTTCTCTCAAAAACTGCCATTTTTTACATATTTAGCTCCGTATCTTCATAATGGCTGGGCCTGCCTTTGCCAAAAACTAATAAACACTTCTCCCAATCATTACTAATTGAATGATTTTTAGATCATTCAAATCGGATACTCCGTTCTCTCAAAAATACGATTTCTATTTTCTGCACTCTTTGCTCCGTATCTCCGAAACGGCTGGACCTGCCTTTGCCAAAAACTAATCAGCTCTTTTCCCTATCAATAGGAATCGGATGTTTTTTGAACCATTCAAATCGGTTGATCCGTGCGCTCTAAAACGTGACTGGAAATTTGTATCCACACATACATACACACACACACACACACACACGCATCCATTTTTTCTGAGGTATGCCAAAACGTTCAGAAACCTTCAAAACGTCGAGAAATGTAAAAATTTTCAATTCCGATTTTCGGCCCATTACAATAACTTACTTTACCCTACGGGAAGTTAAAAAACATCCAATAATTTAGTACACGTTCTGTTTTAGTAATAGCATTACCCCAAAAAGCTATTTTCATTTTATTTAGATATATATTTCAATCACGGAAGAAGGTATCACACCTGAAATCTGTGTTTGAAGGACCGAGACCCATCTCATACAAAACCAAAGCAAGCTTAAGAAAATTATTTTAAATATGGTCAACCCTCCTATAACGCGATAAATGCGGTAAACGCGTACCGTGTAATACCTAACCAAACTCGGATGTATTATTTAAAGGAGATCAATGAAAGAATAGTATTTGTAAGAATATGATAAAATTCTTATAAAAACTAAACTAAAAACAGTTTAGTTCGACAATTACTTCAGATTTATTTAGGGAAGAGTTGGTCACCAACTGAACCGCGTATTGTGAAATACCTCTGACACTATAGTCTAAGAGCCAGTGAACTATTTGACTAACCTGTTTTCTCAAAGCTAGAAATTTTTTTAATGATATTTCATTATCGGTACATTAAGAAAGTGCCGGTCTGGCAAGCATTTAACGATTGCGTCATCATCCCTCGAGTTTTTGAAAATGTAAAAAAACTCATTTTTTTAACTTGCTTTCACAAGGCTCAAATTTTGAGGGAGTACTCTTGTAACTGTTCAGAAAGCATATGTAGAAAGCCAGACCATTCTGACGATTGCAAGGGTCTGCCAGACGAGTACATAATAGTCACGACGCGCAAGGGTGTGGGCGCATTGCCATACATGATCGACTAATACCCTTGTATTTGAATAATTTATACGCCATTTTGAAGGTCATTTTGAAAACATCCGATATACCAAACTTCAACTTTGTATCTCACCTTATGGCCGAGATATCATTGAAAATATGCCAAAGTGGCCCCTTTTTCAAACTCAATTTTTGGCGTAACCATAAAAGATATCGAAAAAAAAATTACGTGATTCTACTCATATTGGCTTAGGCCGCTTAATGTATAGTAATATATGCTAAATAATCATTTATTATTAGCTAAAAAGGATAAAATAATTTTTCAATTAATGTTTTCGGATAGTGCGTTTTGTTCAATTACTTTCTTATTAGCGTTATTCGAAAGCCTATTGTTTTTTCTTTTAGTACTGCAAAAATTGATTAAATCAAATTTGTGGAACACATTGAAAAATTGAAGAAACCAGAGTTTGTATACCCGCGCGTAACGCATCGCGCACTGCTATCCGATCGAACGAGTTCTATGCACAGTACACCGCGCGTAACGCTAAATGTAGCCCGCATGGAATTCGTTCGATTAAATTAAAAATGAGTTTTTTTACATTTTCAAAAACTCGAGGGATGATGACGCAATCGTTAAATGCTTGCCAGACCGGCACTTTCTTAATGTACCGATAATAAAATATTATTAAAAAAAATTCTAGCTTTGAGAAAACAGGTTAGTCAAATAGTTCACTGGCTCTTAGACTACTACTAAAACCGATGTCGTACACAGTTATAAAATGAGCTGGCATATTTATATAAACATGTTGTAAAAAATAAAAGAGTCGATGAATTATTATATTAAAATTTCTTACAATGTCTAGTTACTAGAGTTATTCACAGGCTGCACGGAAGAAACTTATGGGCTGTTGGACGGAAACCGCGCTGCAAGAGTATCGCGTTAAAGGAGTGCTATCGCAATTTCAGCTCCACATAATATGGAAACCGCGTTTCCAGAGCACCGCGTTATAGGAGTTGACTGTAAATTTAAATCTACTACAACCTGCAACTAAACTACCACTGCAGAACTTCCTAAAATGTAACACGACATAAGTATGAACAATTAAATTTAATAAATACAACTTTGTTGCTACAAAAATATATTATTTATTATAATTATATCATAATAATTTGAACTATATTTGTAGATTTTGTGTTATTTGTTTAACTATTAGTATATTATTAAATGATAACATTATTCCATCATTTTCCATATTCGTAACGGTTCGCATTTTCATCACAGCGTCCTCTCCTTGCAATTTCGATACTTCTTCCTGATCTCGCTTCAAATTCTTTGGCACAATTGAATAGGCACGGATTTGAGAAAGTTTCGCCGTTGGACGCACAAACTGGGTCCAAATTTCTTGGACACGGACAAGGCGGCCTTTGTACGTGTTGGCCATTTGTCAAACTGATGGCAAAAACAGCCAAAACTGTTAATATGAGCACACACTTCATATTTGTAAAATTATATTGATTGCAATAACAACTCAGAGATCGAACTGTTCGCTTTTATATCTATTCAGAAAATACCACTTTTATATTATCAATGAAAACAGACAATCGATTTAATTAATGATAACGACAACGACGACAACTAACATCGAGATTATACGCAATTCCCACTAATGAAATTCGCGGTTTTTCTATGTATATGATGTACTGGCAATAATGCTGCAAGTATCGTATTGGGAAAAGTGCAACTATCTATTTTAATCTTACAATCATTTTTATTATAACACTTAAAAAAAAAAATTTGCTTCTTTGCTAATATTCCTAGTTTTTAGTTTTTCATATTTTTCTAATTCGTGTCTTAATATGTATCAATCGTTCAACCTGACCTCAATATTAGAGGCATCTTGCAAGAAAATTAAAGATTTACATAATAATATTTGATTAAATTATTCATAAAAAGATTTAAAAGCGTAAATTTTATTATAAAGCACCTGACTACTATGTTTTTTTTATTTACATTTGTGAATTACAATCAGTCGTTATAAATAACATTCAATAATTTTAATGGTTTATTAAATAAGGAAAAAAGGTCGAAAGGTCACCCAGTGGTGATCCGATTTGATATCGGTTATGTTTAGCTTATAGATGTAGTCCTGATGTGAAAAAATTAAATAAAGCCTACTAAAGGATATCAAAAAGAGGCCGTTTTCTTCTGAGCCGTTCAAAGTCATAGTATTTTATTAAATTTTTGGCCTTGATGTTTGGTTGGTTCTGTATTCTATCCTTGTATCTCAGACTGAATTTTTCAATATTTTCCTTAACTGTGTTCATGTTCGAATCTGTATGAACCAACCAATTTGGGACATACTTGGGCGCGTTTATAATTTCTTTCAAAATCTTGTTTTGAAATCTTTGAATTATGGCCATGTTGAATTTGCGCGCCGTTCCCCAAAGTTGTATTCCGTACGTCCAAATTGGTTTTAACGTGACTTTGTACAGAAGAAGTTTATGCCATGTGCTCAACTGAGATTTTTGGTTTAACAAACAGTATAGTTGTCTTCTCGTGATTTCCAGCTGTTGGCGTTTACCTGAATACTATGTATTGTTAAAAATTATATTCGATTATGGTAAATTATTGGCCAAATCTTCGATAAAATACAAACGTTATGGTAATGCTATGTTACGGGTCTATCTTTGTATGAATCGGTATAATGCAAATCGGTAAAAAAGCAATATTTTTGCTGTGCAATCAGGCGTTTCACAAATAAAACCTAACTTCACGTGCTATCAAAGAGACATAAAAATGCACTTATGATAGAATTGTTGTTAGACAATTGTGCGTTTTGGAGTTTAGGATTTATAAGTAAAACGTATGATTGCACAGCAAATACATAGCTTTTTGGCCGTTCATCGCTACCAATTCATACGAAGATAGGCCCTCAACATAGCGTTGCCATACCATTTCTATTTTATCAGAGAATTAGCCTTATATTTACACAATCCATTAACTTGGTGCGTTTTTATAGAAGCACATTGTCGATATAAATTTCAGAACTATTTTTGATACGTTTTTTTTTTATCACTTTGCTTTAAAATTTGGGTATATTTTTTTTATGTTCTTTAGTTAAATTTTTGAAAGTATAGCTGATAAGTTGAAAAACGAAAAATATGAGAAGATATTGCATCGTGCAAGGTATTTTATCAAGAAACCTAAACTGACAATAAAATATAAGATTGAATCTATTAATTACTTAACTATTTCCCATATTGTATATTTATTAGTTAACCGTGTTCAAATAATGAATTTTGGGCAAATGACAATGATTTTTGTTTGTTTTCCACTATCAAGTTTGATAAAAACATTTCTTATCTACTAATAACGATACGATAACAGGATTTAGATAGAAAGGCGTTTGGATTACTAATTGTAAGCCTTCGAGAAATCAATAAATAAATTTTACAAATCTTAATCATTCGTTGCAATTACTAATGATTTTAGCAGAATACTTCTATTGGACGATGATAAGGTATCTAATAATCTTCAGAATTTAATCTTTTGTTTAAACAATAGAGTATTTTAATTCATTTCAATTAGCTACTTAATAAATTAAATATATTATAATGTAGTTATACATTATTCAATGTACAGTCTAAAAAATTTGATTTGATTTGAAGACATAGATGAAATTAATATATTAACTTCTCGAAGAAGAATTGTATGCCGTTGTCCAAAAATCCTATTTGATAATTTTTAGTTTTTTTGACGTGTCAAATCGTTCTGAATTGCTTGATTGGTCCTTACAGCAGATATAAGAACAATTAGAAAATTATGGCAAATTAACTTGATCTAATAAATTGTATCTAATAGTAATTACCCATTAGGGTAACTAATATTTATAATTATATTTAATTAATGTCAATCAATATAACTCATAAAATAATAAAAAATCATAAATAGAATAATTTAGAATAGTAATATTCTAAATTGTTTGGTACCAAAATGGGAAATGTATGTAAGTGAAAACTTGATGCTACTTCGACGTTTTAAAAAATTCTAAACCGATTTTAAAAATTTGAAAACCATTGAAAAGATATAACCTGCAAATCGTGCTGATTAGTTTTTGGTAAAGATTAACCAGAAAGTTTCTTCGTAAACATTTGTTGGATTTTTTTTTATATTTTTTTATTTTATTAATAATTTTTTATTAAAATTTGAAATAATGGACCGCGTCAAAATTTCCTGGTCTAGCCATTGACACCTGGTTTTGATTGAAATTGCATATGAGGTCTAAAAAGTTTAAAATCATAGAAAGAAAAGTTGATTATATCATAAGATTCTTAACACGTGCCATGTAAATAATGACTATCGAATAATTATCATAACAAATGATAAAAATTAGAAGTTTTTTACAAATTGTAAGTTGTCCTGAATCCGTTTCAGTTGGCTTATTTAACTAATACAACATTGAGGCAATATGTGAAGTATTTAAATTTTTATACAAAATTTTCTATTGTCAATAAATATTAATTATTTCCTAATAATATTTATTGACTATAAAAACCAACACAAATTACAGCCATCACTTGATTGCAGTAGTTTATTCGAATACATAAATTTCTTTATTTTACATTAAATACTGAATTATATAATAAGCATTATAATATTATAATAAGCTAGCTTATTCCACGTATTTGAAAAAGATATAAAAAATATTACAAAACCACATAATAAATTAATACGCCATAGTTTATGTAACGAAAAACTTGACTCCTCTTCATATCAATGGCAAAAATAAAATATGAATTCCAAAGTTTCGAGAAATGATAGCTATAAGTAGGTACTTATACAATTTTTTTTGAAAATAATTCTGTAAAACACTCAGATACAATAGCGAATAAAATGGCATCATAAAGTTTTGTTAAATATATAGATAACTAAAAATACAAGATGGTCTTTTGCAAGCCTAACTATTAGTGTAAAGGATTATGCTATAATTTTAAATATTTAAAAAATTATATTAAGATTTTTTATCATATTACATTTGTTTGTTTCGAATTATGTTAAAAATAGCTGCATGGCATCATTCAATCTGAATTGAATATAATTTTATATAAGGTCTCTATTATGGTCTTATCATGTGATTTGTTAATTTCCATAACATTTAATATTTACAAGCAGTATTATTTAAAAAAAAATTGTGTAAATCAATTTTAGAATCATTAAAAACCGTCTACTTGGGCATAAGCAAGAGTATAGTAAGAAAACGTATGAATGATATTCCTGTAGTTTGAAGTTAATAAAATTCTTACAAAAACAGTAAAGTTTAGACCTGCAACTATGATTAACATTAAATTTTAAAATGCAGTTATAAATTATTAGGTACATTAGTGCAGTCAATATTGTTTTTCCCAGAACTGATTTTAAAATCATAATAAACATTTACAGACAGATCTTCATTTTAATACATGCAATTTAAAACAAAAATGTTGATAAATACATCGCTATTTGCTAGAATATTTCTTATCTAATAAGTTTTATTCATTCAATTATGCTGATTAGCAATATTTATGCATCTTATAAGGATATTTACTCATAAATTTCAATGTTAATAAGAGATGTTTATCTTCCGTATAATAATATTTACATATAACCGAAGTCATACTGGTTTTCCAACAAAGTATATATATATATATATATATATATATATATATATATAATTATATTCAAGTGATATTCTCAGGATCGCATAATATAGATTTTTCGCTATATTTATGCAATTTTAAATTAATTCAGGCAAATATTGAGGAAAGACAATCATATCATTGAAACGTCGACATTGTTTGAAAAAAAACAAATTTTGATCAAAAAATCAATTTTATAATTTGTTTTATCATTTTTTATAATTAGAATATTATCCAGAACTCAATAATATATATGTTTGGAAATAACAAAAATAAGTTTATTTGAAAATATTATTTATTTGCAACGTTTCAGAACTAGTTACGTTCCATGGTTAAGGGCTTTCTATCAAGAACAAAATCCTCAATAATAAAAAATTATAAAATAGATATTATGATGAATAATAAGGTAAGAAAAAAACAATTGAAAAAAAAATAGGATTATGATACTCTAATAACAATAGGTATAAGTTTATGTAAAAGGGTATGAAATATGTATCCTTCGAATCAGTGATTATAGAATAATCCATCGATAATTTGAAGCATCTAGTTTTATCGATTGTATCCTTTCCATCTCCAATATATAATAATTGTTTTGGAAATGTTTCAGCGGATAATTTTAAGCTCAGAAAAATCTTAGATGATAGAAATTCAGTGAAAAACGTTCACAAAAAGCCATTAATTGATAATTCATCGAACAAGTCAATTTGGGTGTATCCAAAGACTAAAAAGAATAACTACTTTTTTAAAGCAAATTTTTCACTTCAGAATAAGTAAAATAAATAAAAAATAAATAACAAAATTAATATATGTAATAATATTTCAGATGGTGAACGATATATAATTACAAGCGAAAAAGTTTTTTACCAGAAGTCCATCCAGTTAAT